CAATTTCCCGTATTTTCTTAAAAAGCTGCAGAAGACATCAATTTTCAATGGAATTTTCTTTCAGATAATATTGTCCACAGGCATCGCCCACAAAGATTTTGAGATATAAGATTTTTCAAAGAATTTTACTCAACATATCTGAAAATTAAAGTGGGCGACGGCTGTGGACACTATTTTCTTAAGGAAAATAACCCTTGAAATGAGTCATTTTGAGGCTTTTTCTGTTTAAAATAGAGAAATGCATCAAATTACTGACGTCATATTTCCAGAATGGTATTTCTTCATGGCCCATTCTTTCCTGATTTATCACAGTCATATACTCACCTAATATTTAAGCCAGTTTCAAAACTTTTTGAAAACATTAAATTTTTAGGGCACAATAAAGCTAAAACCGTACCTTCTTCTTTGTTATAACAAATTAAATTCGTTATAACAAATTCAAAGAAATTGTTATAACGAATTAAATTTGTTTTAATGGATTCGACAATTCGTTATATCGAATTTGGACAATTTCTATTGTTCGTGTCGTTGGTCATTTTTATATATAGTGCTTTATATATATATATATATATATATATATATATATATATATATATATATATATATATATATATATATATATATATATATATATATATATATGACTTTTTAGATATTGTCCTTGAGGTAGTATAGTACATGTATAAACCAATCGAACGCATAAAACAAATATATTTCTTGCATGCAAACAACATGTCAGAACTACCTGAAGTAAGCATTTGAATGATTAAAGCATTCAACACCCAGTAAATCAATAACATCATGCAAAGGGAATATACAAATATGAAAAATTTACGAAATGCAAATTCTAGTGATAATGGTTTGTAAACTCTTCACAATATTCGGAGATACACGTGTAAAAAGTTTCAATATAATTTATTCGTATTTTGTTTTTTCACGCTCTCCAAGTTTAGATATTTTGCTTCAATCATGTAACAAATTTTACTTTAAGAATATCAGGGACAATAAGTCTAAAAATTATTATTTAAATGAATGTCAACGCGAAGATTGAATTTGATTTTTTTTTTGGGGGGGGCAACAATGTCCATGTATCTTAATATGATTCAGGTTCTGTGAAGAATTAGAAACGGTCTCGTTTAAAGTAGACATTTAAACCCCATTAAAAATACCACAAAAATCTTATTTAGAGAATTCGTATCTCCTTTTAACTTGTCTTAGCAACCTTTTATTAGCGTGAAAAGAAATCGGAAGTGATATATGATCCTTGCAATGATATCACGTTTTTACACTGATATGTATTACATACCATGTACGTACAACTGAAGTTAATAGAACTAAAATACCGCACAAGTAAATAAAAAAAAATCCCAATGCCTGGATATCTGTAGTTTTTTGTGATTCTAAAGTATACGTTTTGATCATTTTCTATTAGTAAGTGCATAATTATGTTTTTATTCACCTTTACTGAATATATATTTGAGATTTGATGATATTTTCTATGTGATATGATTAACTATAATGATCAACTTTGAAGACATAACATGTGTTTTTTTTTGTGAGTATTTTAAATAACTAACTTTTGATTTTCAAAACCTTATGAACAGACTTCCTTAAGACTCCTTACATTTAAAGAGGCTGGGGGGTTGTGGCCATTTTTAGACTATATTGATCTCCTTTAGAAGAAGAGATCCATATGAAGATATAGAAAATGATCAAATTTTAAAACTAAAATTTTTGAAATTTTTCTTTGCCAAATGATAGTTGGCATCTTAAGATATCATATCTAAAAAATTAAGTTAAATCTGGTGGTTAATTTGTGGTTAATTTGTTGACCCCCAGCCTCCTTAAGGCTAAAACTCTTTTTTAAATAACAAACACCCCTCCCCCCCTTCAAAAAAATTGAATTTCTTTTCCTTTTATCAAACTTTTCTTGTACGGCCTTGACTAATTAAACAGTACATAAAAACTAAGAAGCCGAAGAAACTATTTATAAATCCAAATAGAAAAAAAGTCCTCTAATGCAAAGATTAAACACCAGAAACTGAACAAGGGAAATTATATTAACTAGAATGAAGCTCGACGACTTCGACAGCTCGATTATAGAGGCCTCACAAAATTGTAAAGTTTTTGTTCACATGAGTCTAGAATTGCAATTTAGGGTGGGACCTAAGTTGTCATGAGAAACTCATGATACCCAGTGATCATCAAGGTATATCAGTAGCTTCTTGTTATTTATATAGTACATTTCAAACTTAAAAACATCAGGATTTGCGTACATAATATTCCAATAAGTATGTAAGGCTAAAATACTTTATACTTCATTCAGTGCAATTTAATAAGATATGCAATTCATAACAAGAAATAAGAACATACATTGTAAAAACTACATTATAGATACGAAAACACATAGGAGTAAAAACATCAAATGTTGTACAGTCTGGTCGTCAGGCAAGTTTCAATAACCCTTCAGAATGGTGTGACAAGTGAATATTTGAGGTATTCCGATAATAAATATTCAGAAGTCTTTTAATGGTTATGATATTCTTTTTTACTTGCAATTGAACATGTTTTCAGGTCCATGTTTAACTTACATTTTTCATAACTTACAAAATTTAATGTGTTGATTTGTTTTGTGCGTGTACATCCACCTAGATCTATCTGTTTATAACTTATATTGAAGCTTTGTTATTGATTTCCCTATGGAATCTGTACCTTATATATACAACTTTATGATTGGCTTTCATCATTCTAAATTTATTAATAAATTTGGCCTGTGTTGACCCCAGTTTTAGCACTGCACCTACCTGTAATTAGCGAACGAAAAAGTGCAATAGGTTCTAAGTAATGAGATCATTATGAAGTAAAAATTTAGTGATTAAAAAAATAGCTTGGTCCCTTTCTTTCCTCTGTCCCCATCTTATTAACTAAACTTTTATTTAATTCTACCATACTTTTTAAAACTACGAAGATTGAAATTCACTTCACTGTATTATAAGCGTGATTCAATATAAGCGTTAATTACTGTGTTTTACAGATATTCACATTATTGATTCCGCGGCAAAGGCAGACATTTTGACAAAGTTAAACTCCAGAAAGTTAGGGAGACACTTTCACTTATACATGTATTAAGCAGTTTAAAATACATTAAGAGGAAAAATAATCTAATTTTTAAAAAATCCCCTTTTTTCCATAACAACTGATTCCACATTTTTTTGCTGCAGAAACTACTTTCGCATGTTACAAGGAATAATGTTTGTAGAAAGCTCTTGACATTGCTCACTGTAGATTTGTAATTCCATGGTATGTGGTTAGAGTGTTCTGTCCTTTGATGTAAAATGAAACAATCGGAAAATTATAGTAAATAACACTAGTTGCAATAGATTAATGTATTCCTAACAGTATATAAGACCAAAATAAGATAATTGAAAACATTACTTGCAAGTATTTTCCAAATGTAAATAAACTCATGTGAATTCTGCTTACTAATACTTCATTGTCTTTAAACATTTTTCCTATTAATACAGGTGCCCTAAGTTGAAAAATGAACTAGCTAAACTCAGTATGTATACACATTTTCTCAAAGTCGAAAAAAAATATTTCATTAGTGTTTAGCACTTCATATTATTTCCATGAGATTTGCTGGGCGACTTCATTCTCGGGGACATAAATATTCCAGAATAAGAAAAGAGTTTATGGTCTCATTTTCTGTCACAATTATTCATCGGTAAAGTGATCAGCCCATTCTATTTAAGTATTGCAATACAAGAATGGAAGTACTGAATATTTCAGGATGTTGATAAAATGCTAATACACAAGTATTGCTTTCTGTTGGTAGTTTCCTGCTTTAATTTTAATGAGTTTGATCGAAAATATTTTGTTGACTTGGGAGCTGAAAATGTTTTAATTGGAAATTTACAATGGCAGAACTGAAAGCCAGTTTTCTGTTCATTTTGTCATTTTTTGTAATTGAAGTTCAGGGTTTGTATTCTTTATTTGAGTTAAGGGTGAGGTTATCTTTTTGACCATCTTCGAAGATAATAAGTTACATGAGTTTATCAATTTCCCATTATAATGTTTATTTTCTTACATATTCTTATGAGAAAAAAAATGTTCACTTGTTATCACTGTAATGTCTAAGCAATTTTCAGGTTGTGAGAATGGAAGATTCTGGGAGAATTGTGACACAAAAGAATTCTGTGTTTGCTTCAATGAACAGTGGTACGGATCAACACATCAAAACATCACTGAATACTCTTTTTTTAGTGGAGAAATTTGCAACTGCCTTCATGCAAGTGAGTATCTAATTACATCGACAATTGACATCGGAATCATTAAATCATTATAAATCTGAATCATTATACACGAGAATAACCTTCTAACCCCGGGATCATGAAAACATCTTAAGTTTAAGTCCAAATCTTTATGTTACACTGAAATTTTGTATAAGTCAAACATGCCAAAACAAAATATTTTATCAGTATTGTATTACCAAAATGCTGTCATCTGCAAATATAGAGAATAAGCTGACAAGTAATCAACATTTTACAGGTGATTGAAAAATTGAATTAAGTCTGAGTCTACTTCATGAACCTGGGACCTGATGATGCAATTATATTGTCCTGATGAAGTCCCTAGTTCAATCAGAACAAGAATATTAGGTCATACAAATAAGAATGTCCAATTGTCTTTTTTTTTGTTTGTTTGTATTTTTGACACTTATTATATTTTTATAGACGTAACATATGGAAGCATAGTTCATAACAATTCATAAATACTGATTGCATGTTTTCTTTCATGTGGTACATATCAAAGCGAAATCCAATGTCAGTTTTTGTATTAGTTTGCTGTAAACTCTGTTTTTTTTCTTTGTATGAAAAAGGTCACCAGGCGATTAAGTACCTGCCAAAAGAGACAATGAACCCCAGTTTCGAAGTGACTCTCTTTTCCTTTTTAAATGAAAAGTGATATAAATTACAAACTGCAATTTTTTTAACTTTTAGATGGTCTGTTAGAATGTACTAATGACTATCTGTTTGAAAGTAAGTACTGCTTCTAATCCTTATTTATTTAAAGGTAAGTATTGCTTCTTTTACTAGTCTAGTCTAAAATCATGAAATTAATGTTAATTTGACTATATTCAAACCACTGTTTAATATTAAACGTTCCATGACATATCAGATAAATTCAGTACATGTCAACATGTTAATAAAGTAATTGTCAATTGTATAAATGGAAAAGTCATTATTATTTATCTATGATATATTAGTTCTGGTATTTGCTCTCCGATACCATCATAGTCAGTATTGGAAAAAAAAGGATTTATGGGTCTAAGAAACCTATATTTTTAGTGACCTATTGCTATCCGTTCTCGTCCGTCGGCGTGCGTCGTGCGTTAACATTTGAACATTTTTAGCTTCTTCTCTGAAACCGCTTAACCAATTTCAACCAAATTTGGCATATAGCATCTATGGGTGATGGGGAACAAAAATTGTGAATTTCATGGTCCCTGCCCCCCTGGGGCCTGAAACCACCAAAAATAATGCAATCTTTAAAAATCTTCTTCTTTACTCCTGGACATCAAGCAGTCAAACTGTTGGAATCATTGTAATAAGCATTGAGCCCTCTACCAAAATAGTGAAATTCATGGCCCCAGGGGCAGGGGTTCTGGCCCCAGGGTGGGGCTATATAGATCATATAGTGAAAGTGCATTATTTCCTTGAAAATCTTCTTCTCTGCTCCTGGGTATTAAATTAAGTAATTAAGTACATAGTTATGAAGAGCAAGAGTGCCTCTTCCAAAATTGTGAAATTCATGGCCCCAGGGTCAGGGGTTCTGGCCCCAGGGTGGGGCTATATAGATCATATAGTGAAAGTGCATTATTTCTTTGAAAATCTTGTTCTCTGCTCCTGGGTATTAAATTAAGTAATTAAGTACATAGTTATGATGAGCAAGAGAGCTTCTTTCAAAATTGTGAAATTCATGACCCCAGGGTCAGGGGTTCTGGTGTTAGGGCGGGGCTCTATTGATTATATAGTGAAAATGCATTAATTCTTTGAAAATCTTCTTCTCTGCTCCTGGATATTAAATAAAGTAACTAAGTACATAGTTATGATGGGCAAGAGTGCCTCTTCCAAAATTGTGAAATTCATGGCCCCAGGGTCAGGGGTTCTGGCCCCAGGTTGGGGCTCTATAGATCATATAGTGAAAGTGCATTATTTCTTTGAAAATCTTCTTCTCTGCTCCTGGGTATTAAATAAGGTAACTAAGTACATAGTTATGATGAGCAAGAGTGCCTCTTCCAAAATTGTGAAATTCATGGCCCTGGGGTTAGGGGTTCTGGTGTAAGGGCGGGGCTCTATAGATTATATAGTGAAAATGCATTAATTCTTTGAAAATCTTCTTCTCTGCTCCTGGATATTAAATAAAGTAACGAAGTACATATTTATGATGAGGAAGAGTGCCTCTTTCAAAATTGTGAAATTCATGACCCCAGGGTCAGGGGTTCTGGTGTTAGGGCGGGGCTCTATAGATTATACAGTGAAAAAGCAATAATTCTTTGAAAATCTTCTTCTCTGCCCCTGGGTATTAAGTAAAGTAACTAAGTACATAGTTATGATGAGCAAGAGAGCCTCTTCCAAAATTGTGAATGTCATGGCCCCAGGGTCAGGGGTTCTGGTGTTAGGGCGAGGCTCTATCTATTATATAGTGAAAATGCATTAATTCTGTGAAAATCTTCTTCTCTGCTCCTGGCTATTATTTAAACAAACTAAGTGCATGGTTATGATGCATAAGGATGCCTTTTTAAAAATTGTGAATTTCATGGCCCCAGGGTCAGGGGTTCCGGTGTTAGGGCGGGGCTCAATTGATTATATAGTGAAAATGCATTGATTCTATGAAAATCTTCTTCTTTGCTACTGGAGATTATTTAAACAAACTAAGTGCATGATTATGATAGGCAAGGATGCCTCTTCCAAAATTTTTAAATACATGGCCTCAGTTTTTGGGGTTCTTGAGGAGGGGGGGGGGGGGGGGAGGGCGGCTCTATTGATTATATTGTGAAAATGCATTAATTCTATTAATTTATCATTAACTAATCCTGTATGCTCCCTAGTGTTGAGCTGATAAATAAATTGCTTAGCTATGATGAAGATGGGATCTTCGAACTGAATTTTTAAATCTTGTGGTCCTAGGGTCAGGGGTTCTGGCATAACGAGGAAGGGGGGGGGGCTTTTGATAATATAGTGGAAAAGTGTTAATTCTTTGAAGTCCATAGTTATGATGATGAGGGTAACTCTTCCAAATTTGTAAATTTCTTGACCTTTGGTCTTGGGTTCTGGTGTTAGGGTAAGGCTTTGTTGAATCTGTAGTGAAAATGCATTGTACCTGTGAAATTCTTCTCTGCTTCTGGGCATATCGAAAGCAAACTGAGTAAAAGTTTAAATGATATAAGTAAGCGTATTTCTACCAGATTTTTGAACATCTGGACAATTCGTCTTAGCATTCTGGTCCTGGGCAGGGCTCTATTAATTTGTATTCTACTGAGAGAAGTTATTCCCCTTTTCCATTCATCTTTGATAATTAATCACTGTAAATAATGTTTTTGAAAGGTTAATAGAATAAGATAATTATGCAAGAATGTTTATTGTATAATTCAAAAAGTACTTTCTTAGTTTTAATAATCAGGTAGACCTGTAAGTAATAGATAAATAAAAACGAGACAAAAATAACTTATCTTATTAAAAGTTCTTCAAAGACCATAAGAGAGGTCAATGCTAGAGGTCTTAATATGGGTTTAAAAATAGTACAGAAGGACTAATAGTTTGTTAATAGTCTGCATGGTGATAATATTAAGTGGGGGACAGATTAGAACTTAAGTTATGAGTTGATACTGAATACTAGACTAATTATTTTGTTGATCCTGATCTTCCTACTTCTCTTGCTTTAGGGCAACAAAGCTTCATCTGTCAGTGTATTTAACTTCTAAATTGTTGTATTATACTCAGGTGACCGTTAAGGACCTTGGGCCTCTTGTTATATTTCTTCATATGTTATAATTTCATGCAACAATGATTTCCTTTTAGAAATTACTTCAGTGGCCAATCTTTTACTCTCACAAACAGGTAATACACAAAATACAAAGGAAAATTCATTTTTCAAAGAATCTATTTCAATAAATATTCTAAAAAGGGGGATGAAAGATCGTGCAAAAAGTGATATAAAAACAAGCTTAAGGTCTGACATGTTCCTCATAAATCTGTTATGATTCTTCTTGTAAGATATAAGAAATATTCATAATATTAACATTATCTCGTGATTTCTAAATTGTTTTCAACATGTGTAAGAAAATAAATACAACAAAACTTGTGATATTGACAATTCAAGTGATTTCAAATAGGATTATATAGGAAACACCACCCTCTGGTATCTTACACAAATGCCTCGTATTAAGGTAGCTCAATTTTTTGTTAGGAAACTTGTTGAAGTAGCAGTACTTCAATGACAAATTCCTGAGAAAAATTACATATAATTGAAGAACGTGTCGTCTGATCTTTAAAAAAATATAATTCTTGTGGTATGCGATATATCAGTATCATTCATACTAAGCTTAGATATTACTGTATACCAAACTATGATTTATAAAAACAAAATATTATAGATAGTGCTTTATGCTCTTGTGGAAAACACGTCTAATGCTAGAAGTAGTCTTTTCAATCGCTTGTTCATGCTTGAATTAGTCACTATAGCTAATGATAATAATCCGTTATAATGTGTGACGTAATTTTGCCTTTACAGATGAATTACATATTTTGCTAACTGATGTTCATGAATTTATTGACGAAACATGTAGATTCTCTAAGTTAATATGTTATTTAATAGCATTTCACTTGTATCATTTGTATTATTTTTCTTTAATTTGCATGACATATTGTAATATATAAGCAGAGGAACTACAAGTTCCAAGAAGTTAATTGCAATCTTTTTCAGTAGTCAATATAAAATGTTCAAATCAATTGTTCCGGTACTATGTTCATAAAAGGGCATGTCTAAAGTACAATGTTTATAGACTTAAATTTCAAATATCATTGACTTCTTTAAAAATAATTGGTATATGCATAAAGTTGTGTTTCCAAATGATTTTTTTTTAATTATAATAATTAATATGAAATAAAAAAAGTATTTTTTTCTTAATATATCGCCCCTACGGAAGCCCGTTGATGCCAGTTCAAAGAAAGAAATATTTTTATTGCGTTTAAACGCAATAATTATTGCGTTTAAACGCAAAACATTGCGTTTAATCGCAATAATCCTTGCGTTTAAACGCAAAAGATTGCGTTTAAACGCAATACTTTTGCGATTAAACGCAATAATATTTTTGCGTTTAAACGCAATAATATTTTTGCGTTTAAACGCAATAATATTTTTGCGTTTAAACGCAATAATTTTTGCGATTAAACGCAATACTATTACGATTAAACGCAATAATATTGCGATTAAACGCAATATTTTTTGCGATTAAACGCAATAATCTTTGCGTTTAAACGCAATAATCCTTCCTTATAAGGATTTGTTTTGCATTTAAACACAATGATACTATAGTTTCAAAATCAAACATGAATCAGTCAAAGCTTATAATTACATGTACATGTACTAGGACCCGACACTTCAACATTAAGAAGATTCGATTTGTTCTGTGTCTTTTTGCAAAATTTTCCAGTTTTTGAAAATTGTGGTAAAACAATGGCATCCTAAAAACCTGAATGTCTTAAATGTATTAGAACCCAAAACTCTTAATGAAGTGTCTGATCAATTGCTTACGAATATTACAACTTACAGAGAATGTTTCGGTGGTATTAATAGCACTTGTCAGTTTGATACATGTAGTGCACATCGATCAATCTATTTTCAATTGATTTTGATTTTGATCTCATATAAATCCATCACATATGTTCTTTTGTTTACTGTATGCAACCATAGGAAGGATTATGAATGTACATTAAAGTCTAAATACTTTATCATGTTGTACGTAATTACAACATTTCCTCAGTCCTTTCAAAAAATCCCTTTATACATGGGTTAAACTTGTGACCACAACTTAGGGGACAGTTTTTTTAACAGAGCAACTGACCAAAACTTCATGTCTCGTTCTTAGGTTGCCTTTGTTTTTACAACCCGACATTTTTTCTCCTCTATAAATTCTTATTAGTGATTTATCCTTTCAGAGAGCGTTTGCTCGGAGAATTCTGATTCTATAAAGCTAAACAATACGCAATTTCCTCATAAGAAAAAAGAGAAAGAAATAAAAGATATAAGTATGCGTGGGTCCATTGCACTCTGCAAGGTTTGATACATATGACTGCCTTTAAACACAAAGATTATTGCCTTTGAACTAAAAGATTATTGCGTTTAAACGCAAACGTATTGCGTTTAAACGCAAAAACTATTGCATTTAATCGCAAAAATCATTACATTTAATTGCAAAAGTATTGCGTTTAATCGCAATATTATTGCGTTTAAACGCAAAAACTATTGCGTTTAATCGCAAAAATCATTGCGTTTAATCGCAAAAATATTACTGCGTTTAAACGCAAAAACTTTTGCGTTTAATCGCAAAGTTATTGCTTTTAAACGCAAAAGATTGCGTTTAATCGCAATCTTTTGCGATTAAACGCAAAGTGTTTTGCGTTTAAACGCAAAGTGTTTTGCGTTTAAACGCAATATACATTGCGATTAAATGCAATCTTTTGCGTTTAAACGCAATGATTATTGCGATTAAACGCAATGTTTTGCGTTTAAACGCAATACTTATTGCGTTTATTGCGTTTAAACGCAATACAAAAAATTTCTTTTTCTGAACTGGCTCAACGGGCTTCCGTACGCCCCAACTATTTCAAATAACCTTTTTACGCCTTCTTAAAAAATTCTTTGTTTGCCCTCTCCCGACGGAGTGACTAAAACGGCTTTACTCAAAACTTCTTTTACCTCCTGGAAAAAATTATACTTTTATTCATTCCCAAGTTTTCTCATCCCATTAATAACTATTTTACCTTCATATTTGCAAGTCTTTTTAAATAAAAAAAATGCTTCCTATACCTACCTACCCAATTTTTTTTATCGGGAGAGGGCAAGCAAACCTTTTTTAAGATGACCTTAAGATGACCTTAAATAAATATTCTGTAGAGGTTGTATTTTTTTTTTTATTGCAGACGAAACAAAGTGCAAAGTGCTAATTGAAGGTAATTAAATTTTATAGAGTTATTTGCACCAAACTTTACTCTGTCCCTTTGAAACTTTTAAATAGTCTTCTTGAAAAGGTCAAGGAAAGTCCATTTTTTGATTCCTCGACACCAGAATATAAGCTCGGATCTGTAGTTATGGATATTGCCAATCATATTGCCAATCATAGGCTTTTAAACCCCCTGAAGAAAATGCAGTTTTTTCCTTAAACTTCAATATGCCAACAAAGGAATTGACGCGGTTAATATAAGTAATATTCTTAATCACAAAAGGGTCCAGTCTTGTATTCCACCATATTTCAAGTTAAAGACTACACCTTGTATTTCCTACAAATATACATCGACTATTGCTTCCAAACTTTTTAATTACAAGAAAACTTTACAGGGCCTGGATATCGAATATCTGAAACATAATCCTCCATCGTGTTCATGTTCTTCTTCGCCCTATAACTATAGTCCTGCTGGACACGTTTTTACTGGTGACGTAAATATAGTTAATAATGAGGACCTTAGATCACTAATTTTAAAAGGTCCTAAATTTAGGGAACCTTGATCCTTCAACTGGCGTAAGAATTTCATAAATATTATGGATTCTGTAGAGGACTACGCCAGGCAATGGGCCAGACATGAAAAAGAAGACCTTGACACTTTGTCAGAATGGATTAAATGTATCAGATGTATGTTAAAATCGCGCATTAAAAGATTGAGAGGCAATATGAAAACCATCTTTCCTTCTGTATTCAATAATCCAGAAGTGAAAAAAGAATTAGATAGATTACATGATCAGTACGTACTGGTCCCTGCTGACAAAGCAGGTAACAACATTGTCTTTGTTTGTAAGGCTCATTATATCAAATGTATTTTAGAGGAACTTGGATTTAATTCTACAAGTGGTAATCCAACTTATACTCATAATTCCCTTTCTAAGGAAGAAATTCTTCAAAATCATATGTCAGTTTTGAATATTTTTAATATTCCAAACAACCAAAATGAATTCGAATTACCATATTTATATTGGATTCCGAAACTTCATAAAAATCCTTACAAACAAAGATACATAGCGGGTTCCAGTAAATGTTCAACCAAGCCTCTATCTTTACTCCTCACTAAGATAATAACAGTGGTGAAGGAGAAACTTCAAGAGTACTGTGCAGCAATATATTCGAGAAGTGGTGTAAATCAGATGTGGATACTTAAAAATTCCAAGGAACTTTTGGAAAATTTGAAATCACAAGATTTTACCAAAATCAAACAGCTTAAAAACGTACGACTTTTCAACTTTATACACAACCATTCCTCACGATAAATTAAAGTCCAGGCTTTTTGATATCACTGACAGCTGCTTTTTCAATAAAAATTGAACTCGTAAATATACTTACCTTGTCATTGGTCATTTGCAAAATTATTTTGTTAAAAAACACTCTGATTGTACACACAAGTACTCTGAAGTTGACATTAAAAATATGCTTGAGTTTCTGATTGACAATATCTATGTGGTTTTTGGAGACCAGGTCTTCCAACAATCTATTGGAATTCCTATGGGTACCAATTGCGCCCCGTTATTAGCAGACTTTTTTTTGTATTCATATGAAGCAGAATTTGTCCAAAATCTTGTACGTGAAAAGAAGAAAACACTTGCTGTGGCGTTCAACTCGACATTTAGATATATCGACGACGTTTTGTCAATTAACAATGGCTATTTTCATTCTTATGTCGATACGATATATCCTGGTGAACTTGAGATAAAAGATACCACAGAGTCTGATACATCTATTTCATATTTGGATATTTTACTTGAAAAAGACGTTAATGGTAATCTAACAACCAAGCTTTATGATAAACGTGATGACTTTAACTTTTCAATCGTCAACTTCCCTTACCTATGCAGCAATATACCTTCATCACCTGCATACGGGGTATATATCTCTCAGTTGATTCGATACGCAAGAGCATGCTCTACGTATGTACAATTTCTAAAACGAGGTAAATTATTGACAAATAAGTTGATGAAACAAGAATATCAGCTGTCTCGTTTAAAGTCATCATTTCGTAAGTTCTATGGTCGATACAATGACCTTGTCAGCAAATACAATCTATCATTAAGTCTAATGCTGACTGACGTTTTTCATACTAATTGTTAGGCCATTATTTACACACTGAATTGTCTACGGATTTTTTCGTTATCCCGATCATGACAAGGAGCACACAGCGGTAGTGACCGGTCGAAAGGGGATGCTTACTCCTTCGTGGCACCTGATCTCAGCTCTGATGCTTTTAGAGGTCTGTGTTTGTCCTTCTCCCGATTTGTATTGTTACAATGGACTTTTGAGCTTGATCACTGTTCGTTATCTCCTTGTGCGTCCAGTCCTTTGGCGATTTTACATAGAGAATAAAAATCTGGGTGTTATGACGTTTTAGGGAAGTTTCTAGTATACTGGTCCTTAGGATCATGCGACTGCGCATGAGCGGTTATATTCCTTGGCGTTAATTCCCATGCAGAATGTAAACAAAGCTCCATTTTTCCTCGCTTTGACAAAACGCATTTAATCGAGTGATTAGGGTTAGAGTATATAGTTTTAAGATTGGAATTTTTTTTTATAAATCCACTCTTAAATCTTTCTGACTTTGTGCTAATTCGTGTAATATTTGTTTACAAAAGGTACTGCCAAGTGCCATTTGTGACCAAAAACTTGCATGAGTCAGCCTTATGTCGAACCATGCCGATATATTGTCTTACAGGAGTAAAGCATGAAACATGTAAACAGACCACTTAAACAAAACGTTAATTAAGTATGGGTGCATTGTATGCGATCGAGTAATAAGAATTATAAAATATATATCTCTGAGACTGTAACTGTTCTATTTGAAACCATGCTCACATTTCCCTGACCTTAGGTTAATTCATGCAATTCTTTGCTTAAAAAAGGCACTGGAAAGTTTTGTGAAACTTGGATGAATTTGACTAGGGCCTAATTTTGAAACAATCCGATATTGTGCACTCAGTTTAGGTAAGTTATAAGTAAAACCAACTTACCTTACACTTGAGTTTGATATCCTGACCTCCTAATGTCCATATTCAGGATATTATCCTTTCTATTCGATGACGATGCACAATTCAATCAACCAACTTCTAGTAATGAGTTACCACTTGTTGAATCCCTTTATTTCTAAAAAAAAAATCTCGCAATATTTTAGGAGCATTTCACTTTGAGTTCTATCAGCTATTACGTCGAAACACAAGTGATGTAATTCAAGAATATTTATGTTACGTCAAAAATCAATCATGTGACCACATTCCAAAATTACGAAAGATTGACTTTTATCTACAAACTAGTACGTTTTTTTTTTTTTTTTTTTTTTTACAAAATCTTTTGATTCTCATTTGAAAATCGGTGTTTAAAACCAGTTTTGTTTTTTTTTTTTTACAAAAAAAAAAAAAAAAAAAAAAAAAAAAATGAATTTTGGCTCAATTTTGCGATTTGTGGCCTTTTTTATCGCATATAAAGAGGATATTCAATGTTTTGTGGTTAGATATGGAATTTATTTCTCGAGTGGGACAGGATTTTTTTTTATATTTTCGTGAGTGCGAAGCACGAGTGAAAATATTAAAAAATCCTGTCTCACAAGTGAAATAAATTCCATATCCAACTACAAAACAATTGAATTTTCTGTTTATTACATTTTCTTTGATTGTCCCTCTGCCTCTGTATTTTCTTAACACAATGTCATAGGCTGTGACGTTGAGCAAATGAGACGTCATAGCTTAGCAGTTGTGATATCAAAAACATTGTAACATGGATTTTAGAACATATTTGGGAAGAAATTGGCAATTTTAGTCTCTATCAAGATAGTTTAGTTACTATCTCTATCTTATTACAGGCCAGAAATTATTTTTACTTACTTTAATTCACCTGTGACAGAATATCATTTTGGTATCCTTTCACACTGTAAGAGGATACCACTTTTATTCAATAAATAAATCATAGTATTTCACCGTTGAAAATGTTATAATATAATGTACCCCACCTTTGGCGGCACCTTTTTAGCACCATATTTATAGGGACCGGTATACTCGAAGAGTTTCGTTCATCCTAAATGATGAATATGGTATTCAGTATATTTATTCTTCATTTAACTTTACTCACGTGCAATTCTGATGGAAATTATCAATGCAAACATGCCACAAACATTTCGGGAAACACGTCAACCCTAATACACGTCCATCGTCTAGAGCATTAAATGTCTTGAAAAACATTGTTAGCGATCGCTAGTGTCTCTGTGTCTACATGGTCTACAACATAATGAATATGCTGGACTTAAATCGTAAATATAGTTAACGTTATGTTTGATTTCTTGAATATGAAATTACCTGGCTCGGCCTAGTATTTCATACCTTTTCCGACTGAAACTTTTCCATCTTTCTATTATCAAACATCAAATGCGTTTCTTGTGCCTTCAAATATTAATATAATTGTAATAAATAAGAAGTTCAAAAACTCCACAGGGAAATGAAGAGGGTCAATTTTGATCAAATGTACTGAGAAGGCCTTAAATTCGACCTTCACAGGATTTGGTCACGTGACCGACTCACTTCATTTCCTAATGAAGTTTTTTAACTTGTTATTTATTTCTTAAATAAAAATAGAGGAAATGTCTAGTGTCTTGCTTTTATTTACTTCTATTTTAGAATTTTCATTTCATTGAAAGATGGAATGCAAATCCTTGTTTTTAAATACTTTTTTTATCATTCAAAGAGAAAAAAAAATGTCCTTCAATGAAACAAAATTACCCAAATAGAGGCCATTGTTAAGTTCTTGTCAATTGATTTCAATTTAATGAATCTCTAGGTGTGGATAGTTCGTTTGATCCTACAAGTAAGTCAACAACGGAACCAACAACAGAACCTTCCACAAAACAGCTAACAGTAACTGGTATGTTATTTGTTACATTTTGGTCTTATAGTTGAACTTCAGTATCTTGGAACACTGATATCTCGAATACCATGGATATGTCGAAGTGATTTGGAATTCATACGCACTTTACCTTTCAGTATTTTAACCTCAATATCTTGAACCCTCGGATATCTCGAAGTTTTTTCTAGAGCCCATCGAGTTCGATATCCATAATAGTAAAATCTTTTCAACATGACTAACATAATCTGTGGCTCATTCTCATTATTTTTACCAAATAGAAAATTGTTTTATCATATGTAATTAAAGCGTTTACATTCAATATACTAATCATGTGTTTCTCTAGAAACCTTTACCATTGTTTTGCTTTATCAAATATCTTTAAATGATACTACTTATTAGCAGACCTATCTTTGTATTCATATGAAGTAGACTTCTACATGAAAAGAGATGCCTGCGTGGCGCAGTGGTTAGAGCGTCTGCTCTAGAGTCGTGAAGTAAGGAGTTGATCCTTACGTCGCAGGTTCGAATCTCACTGTGGGACGTGGAGACCGGTCCTTCGGATGAGACCGTATAAACCGAGGCCCCGTGTCGAAGTAGGTGCTGGCACGAAAAAGATCCCTCACTGCTCAATGGCCGTAAGTGCCGAGTATATGACAAAATTTGCAGGTCTCCACCGGCAAGTGGTGGCGTCTCCACATGAATGAAAAATTCTCGAGAGGGACGTTAAACAACATACAATCAATCAATCAATCTACATAAAAAGAGGAGGTCTCTTGCTGTGGCCTTCGGTTCAGCATTTGGATATATCGACGACGCTTAATCAATTAACAATATTCATTTTCATTCCTAGCTTGATTCGATATGTCCCTCTGAAATCGAAATAAAGAATACCACAAGTCTGGAACATCTGTTTCATATTTGGATATTTTACTAGATCTAGAAATAGATGTAAATGGTAACCTAGCGGCAAAACTTTATGATAAACGTGATGACTTTAACTTTTCTACTGTCGGATTTTCTTGTTTGTGTGTGTATGCCCTTATCGCCTGCATATGGAGTTTGTGTCTCCAGGTTTGTTTGTTACGCCGGAGCGAGCTCCACGTACGAACAATTTCTAAATCGAGGCAGGCTATTGACAAACAAGGTGATGAAACAAGAATGTCGGCAGTCTCGTTTGGGGTCAGCATTTCGAGGGTTCTATGGTTCGATGCAGTGGACTGGTCGGCAGGTACGGTCTGTCGCTGGATCGAGTGCCGGCTGGCGTTTTTCATGTAGATTGTTGGGCCATTGTTTCCGCAATGAATTGTCTGCGTTTTTTTTTCCTTTTGCCCGATCATGACAATGGGTGACTGGTCGACAGGGGATGCTAACTCTTCCATGGCACCTGATCCCACCTCTGATGCTTTAAGAGGTCCTTGCTTGATCTGCTCCAAATTTGTATTGTTTCAATGGACTTTTATGCCTGATTGCTGTTCGTTATCTCCATATTTCATAGTTTAGTCAGAAATAAGTGTGGACGGTTTTAAATAAATCGTACATGCTATTCTTCTGTCGAAATTGCAAGGAAACACTTGCCGTAACCTTCAACTCGGCATTCAGGCATTTCGTAAAATCCATTGTCGTTATAATGACCTTATAAGCAAATATAGCCAACCTATGGGTCGTATTTTGGCTGACTAGTTCCCTACCAATTGTTAGACATTTGTTTTTATAATAAATTTGACTACGGAATGTTTCGTCTACTTAATCAATGCATAGGGCTCACGGCGGGTGTGGCCGGTCAACAGGGGATGCATACTCCTCGTAGGCACCTGATCCCACCTCTGAAACTTCCAGGGGTCTGTGCTTATATGCCCTGTTCACAGACTTGTATTATTTGAAGTTTTTATGAGATCGATCACTGTTTATTATCTTCACCCTGTTTCATTTTTCAATTATCAAATAACGGCTTTTCTTTCTTAGCCTACGCTTGTTTGTGTTGTCAACATTGCTCTAAAGAGTCCTTATTCATAAAGCATGATAAAATAAACGGATGTTCAAGAAAGCTCTAGGATTGAATTTCGGCGATATTACACCCAAAACTTTGAAATATTATATAACAGCTTTGCCTTCACATAAATTTTTAGCATTAAAAGTGAAAGTAATAGATTTTTAGATAAGGTCTTCAAAATTCTTGTCAGGAGAAAGAACCCTGACTGAGATAAATTAATAAATAATTATCTCTTGGAAGTAAGAATTGATAAACCAAACAGCCAGTTTTTTAGTCAGTCACTCTTTCAGCTAACAGATTTACCACAGACAGTAAGAATGAATTAAAATACACACACATATACACAAATAGGATTATCTATTTTTGAAAGACCGAAATATTAAATATACTATTATATCTCGAATTTAAAAATTAAATTAAAAAATATTGAAATTTTAAATATTTTACGATTATCTTTCTTATTGGAATAATTGTTGTTAATTTCTACTAGAGAATACGAAGACCGCACCCACAACAATGCTGCATGCTTCAGCACAAGGTGAATATTACAACACCCACAAGACCGCACCCACAACAATGCTGCATGCTTCAGCACAAGGTGAAGATTACAACACCCACAAGACCGCACCCACAACAATGCTGCATGCTTCAGCACAAGGTGAATATTACAACACCCACAAGACCGCACCCACAACAATGCTGCATCCCTCAGTGCAAGGTGAATATTACTACAGGATTCTTTATTTGCATTCTTATTCCTGTCCTTTAATGATAAAAAAATGGACGTTTTACCTCCAGATATTCACTGTTCTGATTGCATTTCCTTATTATAAGTAGGTCTACCGCGACTCCATTTTCCAATGCAATGGTAGGATTTTCAACAATGAATATATTTTTCTCTTTGTTTCGAAATATGCTTTTTGAAAATTAACAGTCAAGAAGTTGCATGTTTACCTTCCCAGATATGATTAAGTGTAAAATAATGTTTTGTCTTGTCCGTGTCTGTTTGTCGTTTGTCTGATTATCCTTAAAATAGTTAAGAACTAATTTGGATGCAACTTTAGCAAAGAGTCTATCTTTAATGAAGTATAATCAATAAGGTGTGGACTCGGCTTTAAATTCTCTCTCTTTCTCTCTCTGTTGTCTTTGGTCTTGCGCTAGTGAGCATTCAGTGAGTATTAAGATTCAGTGAGGTTTCAAAAAGCATTCAATAAAAATACGGATAGATAAATTTATATCACTCTGTCACTTAGGATTGGCAACACTGTTATATGAAAAGACATGTATAATTTGTTTGCAAGAAGGTTTTTCAAAACGGCTTGGACACATACAATATTATACAATTATTCCTGTTTTTTGAGGTCAATACGATGATTTAGACACCTAAGGAGTACAATATTCACCGAGCCCTTCGGGCTTAGGGCTCAAAAAACAGCAATAACTGTTTTATTATATATGATTATCTATTTTTGGTCCAATGTAGAATAAATAATTCCTTATATTGACCTGGGAATAATTCCTTATATTGACCTGGAATGTCACATGCAGGTCAATATAACGTAGTATTTTTCTAACATTGTTGGATCTCAGCAAATCAGAAAAGTGGGAATTATTCAATCATATAATAATTTCGTTTATATAAAGAAACACGCATGCGAGTGCAATAATATTTTTATGTACATCGTGATATATATATGTCATATAACTCGTGTATATATATATCAGCAAAAATGCTTTGTATATTCAAAACACAGAACCCAAAATAACGTTAAGCCAGATTCATAGTTTTATACTTAACGTACGGAATTTCGTATTTTCATCACTTTCACTTCTTGTAGCTTCTCCCAAATTGAACACACCGTCTGAAAACTGATTATAATGAACTTGAAATATTCTGTGATTATTCGAGTTTAGGCAGATATTCTTCTATTCATTTTCTCCTTGTCGCTCTTCCTATTGGAAATAAATATTCTCTCCTGTGAGAGAATGAAAATAAATAATCGGATTCGACAACCCCCCCCCCCCCCTCGAGAATCAAATGGTCGTCCCTTGGCAAGCACGTAAATAGAGGAACCCAGTTTGAGTTTGTAGAGAGTATGCGAATGGAATTGTGGGAAGGTCACCAGACTTAGTTTGTGTTGGGCATCTGAAACATCTCGCTCGTTTTGAATACTTTACAGACTTAAACTTGACCAATAAAATCCTTCATAACGAAATAAATAAACAATTCTCGGATACAATACAAATGAAAAATTATCGCATACAAATATAAGAAATTGTACAATACAAATAAGAAATTTTACAATGCAAATGGAAAATATAGAATACAAATAAATGTTATACAATCCAAATGGAAAATTATAGAATCCAAATGGAAAATTATAGAATCCAAATAGAAAATTATACAATCCAAATAAAAAATATACAATACAAATGGAAAATTATACAATACAAATGAAGAATTATACAATACAAATGAAAAATTATACAATACAAATAAAATTTATACAATACAAATGGAAAGTTATACAATACAAATGGAAAAAATCGAATATTGCAACATTTGACATGCACTAAATAACGCCATTGTCCACGAAGTTTTTTGGAAAGCCCTCGTATTCTTAACAAAAATGTTTGCATGGAGTGTACCTTGATAGAGTTTTGCACTGACTGAAGTTTCAGAACAGTTATTTGATAATGAATTTTTAATTTTTAATACGATACTGTATCGACGCCCGGTAACAATACGAAATTGTGTTTGAAAACTTTAAATTCAATTGAAAAGCGACAGCTAAACTTTTTCATAAGTCGTCTTTATTCAAATTGTGTTTTTCAATTATATTATTCATAACTAAATGAATGACTTCCAAAATTAGTCTCAACATAGCTGTGTGATTATGTTTCATTCGGACTTCTCACTTAGATATTGAAATTTTCAATTTGTATGTAATTTATAGGAAATTAATCACACAAAAATTCTTAATTTCTGGAAATTGAGTTAAGTAACAAGATCATTTTCTTGATATTCACAGAAGTCATGTGTCCCTGTTCATGTGATTACATGGACAAAATCGAGTACTGGGACAATGAAACAAACCAGCTGAGACAGTACTATGAACTGAGTCAAAGGTTGGCTCAACTCAAACGCCTCCTCAGCGTGAACACAAAAAATCTCTCCTCAACCGTAAACAAGAAGATCAGCGCTGACGATGAGCGACCATCTGCCTCTGTAGCAGGTTACGTGGGAGCTGCCTTTATAGCCTTAGTTCTTGTTGGAATAGTCCTGGCTGATGTTCCTGTGTTGATTAGACAGACTTGTAGACTCCTGAAAGACATCCGAAAACTGTGTGTTCGAAAATAAATTACACTGTTGTGTGTCATTTTGTATCAGTTACACTGGTCTCTATTTTTTTTAAATTTACTTTATGTACAATGTACTTTCAACCTTATTCTGAAAAGTCAAAGTAAGCGAACATCAAATTCTTCCTAGTCTATTTATGGGAAGCTGCAACCGTTTATTGGCAATCACTTAATTCCCATCTCTATTTTTTTTTTAAAGTAAATAAAATATTTTTTGGAGTATTTCATTTTTCTTTGGCTAATAAAGATAATATTGAATTAAACATCCAATGTTATTTTCAAGTTTTCAACGTTTTTCTTAACGTTACTATTGTATGTGCACGAATTTATTTTTCTTTAACATAAGAAAAATTGTACATTTGTATAATAAAAATTGTTACAGGCCTTGTACAGGTAGATTTACAAAATATGTATTTTGTATAAAACGAGCATCGTATATTCGGCAAATCTTGACAACGTGAATTTCAAATGCTTGCATATTGTTAATAAGTATGGTGTACATGCTTTTAAAACATACATGTATATGAATATGTGTTCTTTGTTATACTTGCAAAAGTTCTGTTTTTGTCAATTAATCAACATTATTATGGCAAAGTTATGCATCTTCTCCTGTTAACAGGTACAATTGTTTCCGGTGAATTTAGCTTGAAATATTTCATTTGTATATTCAATATTCTCAATTTATCATCACTTTTATAGAAATTTGTTGTTTTTTTTTTTTTTTTGTATTCATATAAAGCATAATTTATTCAAAAACGTTTAAATGAAAAGAAAAAGTCTCCTGCTGTGGCCTTCAATTCGACATTTAGATATATCGACGACATTTTTATCGATTACAATATTCCTTTTCTTTCCTACGTTGAAGATAACGAACAGTATTCAGGTTTAAAAGTCCATCAAACAATACAAAATAGGAGCAGAGTAAAGACGGACCTCCAAACATCAGAGGCGGGATCAGGTGCCATGGAGGAGTGAGCATCTCTTTGAACTCAAAATAAAAGACACCACAGAGTCTGACACATCTGTTGCAAATACAATCTATCGTTAAGTTTAATGTTGACTGACGTTTTTCATACAAATTATTAGTGCTATATTCTCATACTGAATCGTCTACGATTTTTATTCTTTACCCGATCATGATAGGGAGCACACCGCGGGTGTGACCGGTCGACAGGGGATGCTTATTCTTCCATGGCACCTGATCCCATTTCTGATGAATTTAGAGGTCCGTGTTTGCTCTACTCAAAATTTGAACTTGGTTACTGTTCCTTATCTTCATATTGCATCGTTAATTTTGGAAAAATGTTTCAGTGTAATATTTGATGGTAAATGAAAGTAATTGAGTAAGGAAAAAGTGTCATAGCAAAGTACAAAATGTAACAGTTATTTATGTATTTATATTCCACTAACACTTGAATATTGTGTTTATGCCTCCAAACTGATTCGATACCCAAGAACGATCAATTTTGAAACTAAGGAATGCTACTGAAAAATAAGTTGATATTACAAGAAATACAACCCCGTTTTGAGTAAGCATTTCGTAAATTCCAGTATCGTTATAATGACCTTGATTGCAAATACATCCTATCGTATTTTGAAATCTTTCATACCAGTTCTTAGGGTATAGTTTGTTCTAAATTTAGCTACGGATAACTCCGTTTTACTGATCAATACATAAAGCTTACGGTGGGTGTGACCGGTCAACAGCGGACGCTTACTCCTCCTAGGCACCCGATCCCACCTCTGGTGTTTCCAGTAGTCCGTGTTAACATTTCGGAAATTTCCTTTTCAGGGAAGTCTCCATGAACTGTAGATTAAAACTTGTACAAATCATTCCATCAAGGTTGTGGGGCCAGAGTATACAGGGCCAAGAATATAAAGGGAAATTTAAATAGAGCTTATCAACAGTACCACAATTAGTTGTGCAAAGATACTAATACATTCAGTTGGTGGAGATTCATGTAGTTTTATTATATATCAGCAAAGCTGAAATTATTTTAACCACATTAATTTAGCATGTTTTATCACCGATACTAATGATTGATTGATTGAATGTTGCTTAACTTCCCATTCGAGAATTTTTCACCCATATATAGAGACGTCAACGTATGCCAGTGAAGGGCTTAAAATTTTAACCTATAATCGGCACTCAGGGCCATTGAGCAGTGAAGGTTCTTGATCGTGCCAATTGGACCTCAGTTTTTAAGGTCTCATCCGAAAGACCGTTGACTTTCGCTTCTAATACCCAGCGCCTGGCGAAGGAACAATCCCTACCTATGGTTATCTTAGGTTTGACTCGAGGAATCGAATCCTAGCCTGCCGATCACGAGGACTACCGATAGTAAAAACCTCTTTTAAGAAAGGGGTCACAATATAGGTTGCTTATAGACAAGTTGCTTATTATTTGATTTGAGTGATATCTTTGCTACGTTTCCTCTCGCAACGTAATAATGTGACTACAGCTCTTCCAAACTACAGAGGAATACTAAGAACTAAAGTAAATAAATTCACTTCAATTTTTCAACCTTTGTTTGTTTATTCAATTTATTAGTCTGGGGTACTCAGGATTTACATATCATTGCAACTGCTGTAATAAAATTTTGTGATTTATACGACTATATGTAAATAATATGTGGATATGTAATATTGGCGAAGAAAAGATTTAAAATTGTATACCAAGTATTACATTTAATGAAATCCGTGTGTATGTAAACTTTCGGATCATATAAATAGACAAGGTAGAAATAATTTTATGAAATACGTATATTTATAATAATAAAGTTTTCCCAAAATTTCTAATATGGATTGTGAAAATGTGGTATAAGATTTTCATTGTAAATATTTATAAATACATCACTTATTAAATAGAAAAAAGATGTATTAGTTTTGTTGATTTCTGTTATGCTATTCGATAACATATTTACCTGAAATTCAGTTTGATTTCAGCAATGATTGAAGTCAAATACTGCTTTCATTGATGTTCACAAAACTGAATTATGGCTTAAATTTAGGAAGAACACAGGAGATCATTTCACAAAAACAAAACAAAACAAAACAAAAACAAAACAAAACAAACAATATGTAAATAAAAGACTGTGTATGGAGACGTTCAAAGTTAAAATTTAATCAGATTCTTTTTATTAATATTTATGACTGACAAGGATGACCTGCTATCTTCAAAAACAAACACACCAGCATTCATCTACTTTAGAAACTAGTAGTCAATTAATATACTTTATTTTTATTTAAAAAAAATGAAAATTTTCTAAATTGTTTTTGTCTTACAGCGTGTGCTTTACGGTGGATAACATATGTTATCAAATATTTTATTTAATTTCTAAGCAATTCAGAAATCAGATTTTGACCATAACCTTTTTGATTTTCCCCTTTTTGCTCAGCCTGCAGAAATTAAGTGTAATATTGGTTTGGGATGAATCATAGTATGATGCTGAAAATCTTCTCTTTTTTGTGTACTTACAGAGAAAAGCAAATAGTACATGTATTTTCTTATCCAATATTTGGAAATCAATGTATTCATTAGGGAAGGCAATCGAATACAGAATTGCCAATCGTTACCTGCAAGACGTTCCGACCGATTAACCGTTTAATCTTATAAAAGATATACATTGTTTTTAGATATTTTTTTCTATTCATGTACACAATTAACTGAAAAAGAAATTAGTAATATTTTGTTTCTGCTTGATCAGAATACTGTATATATTTATTTCAATTTAAATAGGTAAAGAAAAAGAAAGAAAACCATGAATACGAATGAGAGATGACAGTCATTAATTTAAATTAATCACCGTTTCTTTTTTAGTCGCACAGTTTATGCTTCATTGTCACCTTAATTAGAACCAATTTGCAATATCACACTTAATTTACAGTTTGTTTAATAATATAGTCTGATAGATATCTGGAAAGGATAGACAGGATAAGATACACATTATAATCAGTTCACTGTACTCAGTGGTGATTTAATTAATATCAATTAAGAAATACAGGACTGGCTTGGTATTGACAGGATGTTAAAATAGTAATTAACTCTTCACAAACGGACCAATTAACCCTTAATCTTAATCCAAAGAGGAATTATTAAGTACATGTAGATATCAATGTTCAAAGATTTTTTGAAAATTGAATTTTTTGGAAATTTTGTTCAAATTTCAACATCTTACTTTTTCGACTTTTCCAACCGATGACCATTGTTCCGATCCGACCGAGTAATCAGTTAACTGGTTACGAATTGCCATCCCAAGTATTCATTTATCATGAGAGTTTACAGTCTTTTTCGAGAATGCTAACTATGTTTTAAATCTAAAAGCTAATATTTGTATACGCATGCATGAAAATAAATAAAAAATTATTTACATAATACTGTTCACTTTTTAAAATATTCTTTGAAAGAGATTGGATGTTTTAGTCTCTAGTGAATAATATCCATTTCGCAAAATCTCAATACTCTCTTTTTCAAATTTATCCGGAGTAAAAATATTTTTCAATTTTTCAATTTATTCGGTTAGCAAAAGCGTGCTCTGAGTACAATCAATTTTTAACCGAGTCAGGACACTGACAAATAAGGTGATGCTACAAGGCTTTCTTTTACAATCTTTTTAAAGTAAGCATTTCACGAAATTTAATGTTCGTTATAATGACCTTTTTGCAAACACAATTATCCTTGGATCGTATTTTGGCTGATATGTCTCATACTAATTGTTAGGTCGTTGATTTTACTATTGATGACTTACCGGTAGTCTATTTTTTGCGACATTCATTTTTGCAAGATGGTGAGTTCGTATTTAAGGGCAAGAAAAATGTTTCTGAATTTCGGTTTTCACTGTAACTTCGTGAGAATGAAATTTTTGCGAGCAGGCTGTCTCGTCTTATATAATGCGTTATAACGCAAAAAATAAAAAAAGAAATTCTCAGGAATAAAAAGGTACGGTGCTGAATATCTAGGTTAAACAGATACAAAAATACATTATTGTGTTTTAAGATATTATTCCAGCTAAGCCATCCAATTAGTAAAACAGTTCTTTAACGCATAAAATAATACACTTTTAGAATATATATGCAAGGGAACTCTCAGTAAGATAAATAAAAAAAGTTCTCCCAGCTCTGCAAAGATGATATTTTACAACAGTTTCTTTGTTCTTTAGTAATACCTGAATCTTTTGCTTATCAAAAATTAAGTAGCTCAAATAACATTTTTGAAAACCTATATTAACCAGTCCAAAACACAATACCTTTACCTAATTAGTTTTCACTGAAAAAGTACAGAT